TGATCACTAGAAGTAAAAAAAGAATCTGTAAAAACAAAACAAAACAAAAACTCCCTGCAAACTAAAGTCCAGCACCGGACAGCTTCACTGGGGAAGTCTACCAAACATTCAAAGAAGAATTTATACCCATCCTCCTCAAACCATTCCAAAAGAATGAAGGGAAGGGACACTCCCAAAGTCATTCTATGAAGCCACCATCACTCTGATACCAAAACCAGACAAAGACATTACAAAAAAAGAAAATTACAGGCCAATATCTTTGATGACTACAGATGAGAAAATCCTCAAAAAAATAGAAAACTGAATCCAACAATACATAAAATGAATCATACACCATGATCAAGTTGGATTCATTCCAGGGTGGCAAGGATGGTTCAACATACACAAGTCAATCAATGTGATACACCCGATCAACAAAAGGAAAGACAAAAACCACATGATCATTTCATTACACGCAGAAAAAGCATTTGATAAAATTCAACATCAATTCATGATAAAGACTCTCACTAAACTGGGTATAGAAAGAACATATCCCAACATAATAAAAGCCATTTACAACAAACCAATAGCCAAAATAATATTCAATGCTGAAAAGCTGAAAGCCTTCTCACTAAATTCAGGAACAAGACAAGTATGCTCACTTTCACCACTTCTACTCAACATAGTACTAGAAGCCCTAGCCACAGCAATCAGACAAGAATTGGAAAGAAAGACATAAAACTGTCATTATTTGCAGATGACAGTATATGCTATATATAGAGAGAACCCTAAAGACTCCATACAAAGACTATTAGAATTAATAAATGAATTCAGCAAGGTAGCAGGATACAAGATTAACATATAGAAATCTGTTGCATTTCTTTACACTAACAATGAAATACCAGAAAGTGAAAGTGAAAAAACAATCTTGTTTAAAATCACATCAAAAAACTAAAATACCTAGGAATAAACTTAACCAAGGAGGTGAAAGACCTATACACTGAAAACTATAGAACACTGAAAAGGAAACTGAAGATGATTCAAAGAAGTGAAAAGATATCCCATGTCTTTAGATTAGAAGAATTAATATTGTTAAAATGACCACACCACCCAAACCAATCTATAGATTTAATGCAATCCCTATCAAAATATGCATGGCATTTTTAACAGAACTAGAACAAATAATCTTAAAATTCATACTGAACCACAAAAGATCCAGAATTGCCAAAGCAATCCTGAGGACAAAGAACAAAGCTGGAAGCATGACCTTCTCAGACTTCAGACAATACTACAAAGCTACAGTAATCAAAACAGCATGGTACTGGCACAAAAACAGACATATGGATCAATGGAACAGAATAGAGAGCCCAGAAATAAATTCACACACCTACAGCCAATTAATCTACGACAAAGGAGTCAAGAATACACAATGGAGAAAAGACAGTCCCTTCAACAAGTGGTGCTGGGAAAGCTGAACAGCTACATGTAAATCCATGAAATTAGAAAAATCCCTCACACCACATATAAAAATAAACTCAAAATGGTTTAAAAACCTAAGGATAAACATGACACCATAAAACTTCTAGAAGAGAACACAGGCAAAACATTCTCTGACATAAATCATATCAATGTTTTCTTAGGTCAGTCCCCCAGTGCAAAAGAATTAAAAGCAAAAATAAACAAATGGGACCTAGTCAAACTTAAAAGCTTTTGCCCAGCAAAGGAAATCATCAACAAAATGAAAAGACAACCTATGGAATGGGAGAAAATATGTGCAAACAATGTGACCAACAAGGGGTTAATATCTAAAATATACAGACAACTCATACAACTCAATAACAAAAAAACAAACAACCCAATCAAAAAATGGGCATAAGACCTAAATAGACATCTCTCCAAAGAAGACACAGAGATGGCCAAAAGGCACATGAAAAGATACTCAACATCACTAATCATCAGAGAAATGCAAGTCAAAGCCACAATGAGGTATTACCTCACACTGGTCAGAAAGGTTATCATCAAAAAGTCTACAAATAATAAATGCTGGAGAGGGAGTGGAGAAAAGGAAATCCTCCTACACTGTTGACGGGAATGTAAATTGGTGCAGCCACTATAGAAAACAGTATGGAGGTTCCTTAAAAACTAAAAACAGAGCTACCATATGATCCAGCAATCCCACTCCTGGGCATATACTCAGAAAAGACAAAAATACTAATCTGAAAAGATACATGCATTCCAATGTTCATAGCAACACTATTTACAACAGCTAAGACATGGAAAAAACCCAAGTGCCCATAAAGAGATGACTGGATGACTGGCTTAAGAAGATGTGGTGTCATAAATAAAGAATGAAATATTGCCATATGCAGCAACATGGATGGACCTAGAGATTATCATATTAAGTCAGACAGAGAAAGACAAATATTATATGATATCACTTATATGTAGAATCTAAAAAAAAATGAATCTATATACAAAACAGAATCACAGACATAGAAAACAAACTTACGGTTACCAAAGAGGAAAGGAGGGGGTGGGGGGGAATAAATTAGGAGTATGGGATTAACAGATACAAACTATTATACATAAAATAGATAAGCAACAAGGATTTACTATACAGCACAGGGAACTATAGTCAATATCTTATAATAACCTATAATGGAAAATAATATGAAAAAAGAATATATATATGTGTATATATATATATATATATATATATAACTGAATCACTTTGCTATATACCTGAAACTAACACAATATTGTAAATCAACTATACTCCAATAAAAAAAGGCAAAAACAAGAGATATCGATATATATCCAAAAATTCCAATGACTATTTTAAGATTTCCAATACGAGTAAATAGAAGAAAACAAATAATTTGACATTAAGGAACATTTTTAGCAGATGACGGAAAACTACTCTCCAAATTAAGAGCGAATGAGAATCCATTTTTGAAATCCACATCAACTACTGTAAAACTGAATTCAAATAAACTGCAAATTTTTGAATGCCAAGGATAAAGAGAATAGTCTTAAAAGCTCTCAAGGAAAGGAAAAAAAAAGATGTCCCACAAAAGAATGAAAATTAGATTGGCATGAAAATTCTTATCCACAACACTGAATGCTAGACCTTCTAAGGAAACAACTTATTTAGAACTCCACACCCAGGCATTTAATCATTCAAGTGAACTTGAAAAATGCACTTTTAGACATGCAAAGACTCAAAAAGTTTACTAGTCACAAATTTATTTGGAAAGAATTACTGAAGACTATTTTCCAGAAGATGAACAAATGAAAAGAATGGAATATAAGAAAGATTTGTGAATGGAGAAGACAACTTAGACTTAACTCTAAATAATTTTTAGAAAGTTCTTAAAAGTTTAAGAGCTTGGAGACTTTCCAAGTTCCTTTTTCCCTAGCTTTTAGCCTTTTTGTATTGTGAAATATAACACACATACATAGAAGTACATAAAGAAAAATGTGATACTAATAAATTATTTTAAATGAATACTCTGTACCTGCATGCAGCCTAGAAGCAGAACATTGTCTCCTTTGTACCCTTTTCCTAATCAGCACCACAAATCTTTTCCAGCAGCATCCACTATCTGACATTTATAAGAATAACTTTTTACCTTACCCTACAGTTCTACCTAAAAAATTCATTCCTAAACAACATAGCATAGTTTTGCCTATTTTCAACTTTATCTAAATGGGTCATACGTATATAATCTTTTGTGAAACAAACACAACAATCAAGGCAGGAGAAGCTGAGCAATGTCTCAACTCCCCACGAGTCTCCAGGACTGGTATTTCAACCTTCCTCAGCAGCTGGCTCCTAGTTATAAGACGTTTTCTGTGCTAACAAGACCATTTTATGCCTGCAACTCCCCCTTGTCACACACTTGATCACGTACGTCCCCATTCCTTATCAAAATTCCTAAAATGGGATAGCAACAGGGAGCTCAACCCATAACAGGTCCAGCCATTCCCATCCCAGGAACACCTCTCCACTTGATGCCAAGAGCCTGGAAGAATAAATGCACACAACAGCTACAGCCTGCAAGTTCTAGCCTACACTGTGGCAATTACCACTTTGTCCCAGCTCTTCAAGCAACACTGGTGCCCGACATGGAACAAATATGGATTTGGTTGGGTCCCTAGGGGAAGGAAACATCCTCCCTGGGAGTAATGTAAGGTCTGGAAGAGACAGTTAGTCTCCACCTGTATTGGCTTAAGCAGCTGCCTCTAAATGAGGGCACTCATCTGAGCAAGAAGGGCTTATAACTGGATGACCATGCTGCCTCATAACTACACAGTACCTAGTAACACAGACTGTCAGGTGCTTCCTCATTCTACAGTCCTTATAAAACATGAGACCAGCAAGAGGCAGGGTCTTCCCCCGAAGCACAACCCACAGTAAGTTCAGTACTGGCCTGATGACACAACTTCCCATGTGACGCCAAGATTATACATCTTGCATTTGTAGCAAATATACCACCACTGATATATCCTTGCCAAAAAACTACTTAACTTTTAATCTAATCATGAGGAAACAATTAGACAAATCCAAGTTGGGAAACCTACAAAACAACTGGTGTAGGTTCTTAAAAAAACAAAAATCACAGTTATAAAAAAAGACGACACAGGAACTGTGCTAGATTAAAGGACACTAAAGAAGCACGACGAAGCAATGCGATCCTTCTGAAGTGAGCACTTTCATGAAGTGTCACTCTGTTTTCAACACACGCTCAGAGTTCAGGGGAACACAAATGTGGCAAAATGCTCATAGCAGGGTAATAGACTCAGGGGAATTCAAAATGACGGTATAATGTAAATCAGGGTTACAGCATTAAGAGGTTTTAAAACTAGCTTTTACTTGTAACTAGCAATTTTAATTATAGCTAGTGACAATATTTTTTCTCATTTTTTTAAACTTCCTCAAATGTTCAATTTCTCTGTCCATCACAGAAAAGTGATTTATGTTGCAGTTAAACAAAAAGGGACTCTAGAGAAATACTTACGAGAGCAGGTGGCAGTCTGCCACTCCAGACACTGTCCATATGGAAAAGAGATTATGTAGGCATTCGAGTCAACGCATCGCTTCGTGCTGCTGCACCACATACACTCCATTCCGTTGCTGGTACAGTTGGAACACGACGTCCTTAAAGAGCATGGCTTTTTGCAAGGCCTTGCATTTTGATTTGGACTAACTGGAATACATCAGCAAATGTAATTATTTTATTTGTTAACTGCTTTCTAACACAAGTATACGAGTTTCGTTCATTTTGTTGTTTAGGGAATGTTTCAATTAAGCCAAGTGTAGGCTAAAAATTAGAGTTAAAATTGTATGATAAGGTAAATGAGAATGAAGATGACATGTCAATACTTCTTAAATTTATTATCTAATTTGAAATTTATAATACTTTGGAAATTTTTAATCGTTTACCAAGTACATAAAATTGTATAATTTAAAATTTTTTAATAGAAATGTAATACATGACCTAGGTTTTTCTATCCATTGGCTAAATATTATGTACACTAACATTATTTACTTTTCTAGCTAGCCATAATTCTATAAACATTCCACACTTTATCAAAGCAACAAACAAAAATAAAACAGTTTACTATAAAATTTTTACATAAAATGTAATATTTATCACACCCATTAGGATGACTTTTTTTTAAAATGTTGGCAAGGATGTGGAGAAATTGGAAGCCCACACACTACTTGTGGAAGTGTTAAAATGGTGAGGCTTCCATAGCAAACAGTATGGCAATTCCTCAAAAAATTAAACACAGAATCACCATATGATACAGCAATTCCACTTCTGGCTACGTACCTAGAAGACATGAAGGCAGGAACTGGAATAGATATTTGTACACCCACGTTCATAGCATCATTATTCACAATAGTCAGTAGGTGGAAGCAACAAGTGTCCATCAATATATGAATGGATAAACAAAATGTGGTATATATATACAATGGATAATTATTCATGTTTAAACAGGAATGAAATTCTGACATATGTTACAACATGGGTGAACTTGGAAGACATTATGCTAAGAGAAATAAGACAGTCACAAACGGACAAACACCTTATGATTCCACTTATATGAGATACTTAGAGCAGTCAAACTCATAGAGACAGGAAGTAGAAGGTGGCTGTCAGGGGCTGGAGGAGGGATGAGTGGGGAGTTACTGTGTAATGGATATGGAGTTTCAGTTTGGGAAGATGAAAAAGTTCTAGAGATGGATAGTGTTGATAGATTAACAACAATGTGGATATGCTTAATGACAGTGAACTCTATACTTAAAAAATGTTTTAAAAAGTCAATTATATCTCAAAAACACTGAAGGGAAAAATGGTTAAAATTATAAATTTTATGTTATGTATATTCTTCTGCAATACAAAATATAGTATTTAAAAAAAGAGAAAAGAATTCAATATTCCTTTCTCACTTAACAAAAACCCATTTCAAAAGATGGAACAGCAAGGTTTCTCTTCATTTGCCAACTGAAATAATAGATCTGTAAGATTAAAATGTTTCTAAATTAGTTGTTGATCTTAATGATAAATCTTTCTTACAAAGACTATTATTATAAAAGTAAAACACATTAAAATATTAAGAACAGATTATTACTATACTGTAACTACAACCATATGTTCATAATCTCACTATTTTAACCAAGAAATAAAGATTGTATAAAACAATACAATTTTGATATTTTCATAAGTTAAGGCTGAGGTCACTAATAGTAAGTGGGGAATGTGAATAAAGATAAAATATACATTGAAATCAGCATCATAAAAAGATGGTGAAAGTTACTTCAGGCCTACATAGCATCACACCGTGGAAGAGGGTAGTGGGAAGAAAGGTTGGAAACATATTTTTAAAGAATACTAGTTTACTGGACTACTTACCAACAGGTTTTTCACAGACAAGACCATCTGCCATAGAGGTACAAGGATTAGCTTTTAAGCCTGCCACGGCTGCCCTTTCTAGATACGCACAGAACCCAGAATCATTGGGTTCACCAGGAAGCCACTGTAGTGTTGTGTTTGTAAATGGTGACATGTCTTCCCATCCCCAGTAGGATATATTGATCTTGCGTAAGCCTACCCAAGGTGATACTTTCTGTAAACAATAGCAAAAGGGACATTTTAAAAAAGTGAGATGTAAAAATCCTGCATCATATTCCTTAGCAAACAGTTCATTACCATTAAAAATTACATTTGAAAATATATAGAACTGCCTTTCTAAGGACTTCGAGTACTAAGGATAATTAACAATTCCAGCACATCTTGGAGAATCATGTATAATAGAACACTATGTTTAAAACATATTTTGTGTTTAGTGACATGACTGGGGTCATTTCTTTAGCCCTCGTGAACCTCAGTTTCCTCTTCTATAAAATGGTGATATCTGATATAAATACCTATCTTACGAGGGAAGATCATTAAAAAAACTTAACATATTGTGTTGCTGCTACTGTTACTGCTACTTCTGCTGCAGCTACTATTACTACTGTTACTACCAATCTAATCAGTTGTGGAGTTAAGAATCTAAAGCTAAATTGGCATTATATGCACTGTGAGAAAACAGAAAACAAAATCAATGAACAGTATATAAAGGCTGAGTGAAGACTTCACAACAGGTTCACAAAGGACTAGGAAGAAGGGCCTCTCTCCTAGTTCAGACCTCTACTAGTACACAAGGACTTTAGTGCAGTTTTAGATAAATTAATGTCATCTACTTTCATTATTAAAGAGATCAAGAAAACTAATAAAATCTTTGACCCTGATGCCTAAATTTAATTAACAGAGGTTGACAAATGCCATCAAAGTAAACTTTCTTAGTGCTCTCAATGATATTTCAAAAGTCGCTTAGAAACAAAATATATGCTGTATTTATATACCTTATTTTAATCATTACTCAATTTTAAAATATATTATTCTAATGAGACTGAAAAAATAATGATATATTCTTGGTCCAAGGTACTCTCTTTACAAAATTTTTTAGATTATGAACACCTCTTTTTCTATCCTTGTTTCTGCTTTAGAGTTATGCTTTTCTTTTTGAGATTTTTTCATTTTTTCTAGCTTTCTTGAGGTATAATTGACAAATGAAAATTATACCTATATAAGGTGTATGATTTTTTTTTGGTATATGTACACGTTATGAAATGATTATCACAATCAAGCTAATTAACATACCCATATGTATATATATATATATTTTCTTTATACATCCATGTATCCGTTGATGGACACTTAAGTTGTGTCCATAGCTTGGCTATTGTGAATAATGCTGCAATGAACATAGAAGTGCAGATATCTCTTCAAGATACTGACTTAATTTCCTTTGGATATATACCTAGACATGGGACTGCTGGGTCATATGATAGTTTTCATTTTTTGAGGAAACTCCATACCATTTTCCAAATTGACTATACTGCTTACATTCTCACCAACAGTATACAAGAGTTCCTGTTCTCCTCATCTTTGCCAATATATGTTACCTCTTTTTTTTTTTTTTTTGCGGCATGCGAGCCTCTCACACTGTTGTGGCTTCTCCCGTTGCGAGCACAGGCTCCAGACGCGCAGGCTCAGCGGCCATGGCTCACGGGCCCAGCCGCTCCGCAGCACGTGGGATCCTCCCGGACCAGGGCACGAACCCGTGTCCCCTGCATCGGCAGGCGGACTCTCAACCACTGTGCCACCAGGGAAGCCCACCTCTTATCTTTTTCATAACAGCCATTCTAACAGGTGTGAGGTGATATCTCAATTGGTTTTGATTTGCATTTTTCTGATGATTACTGCTGTTGAGCTTTTCATCATATATCTGGCTGGCCATTTTTATGTCTTCTTTGAAAAATTTCTATGTCCTTTGCCCATTTTTTGACTGGGTTATTTATTTTCTGTTGAATTATTTGAGTTCTTTATACATTTTGAACATTAAATCTTTATTAGATGTATGGTTTACATTCTCTCCCATTCCATAGGTTGTCTCTTCACTCTTTCTTTTTTTTTTTTTTTAATCTATTTTTGGCTATGTTGGGTCTTCGTTGCTGTGAGCAGGCTTGCTCTAGTTGCAGCTAGCAGGGGCTACTCTTCATTGCAGTGTGCGGGCTTCTCATTGCGGTGGCTTCTCTTGCTGCGGAGCATGGGCTTCAGTAGTTGCGGTACGTGAGCTCAGTTGTTGTGGCTCATGAGCTCTAGAGCGCAGGCTCAGTAGTTATGGTGCATGGGCTTAGTTGCTCCATGGCATGTGGGATCTTCCCGGACCAGGGCTCGAACCTGTGTCCCCTGCATTGGCAGGCGGATTCTTAACCACTGTGCCACCAGGGAAGCCCTGTCTCTTCACTCTTGATCATCTCCTTTGCTACGCAGAATCTTACTAGTTTGACACAATCTCATTTATCTATATTTGCTCTTGTTGTCTGTGCTTTTGGGGTCACATCCAAAAAATCACTGCCCTGACCAATGTTGAGATTTTTTCTTGTGTTTTCCTCTTGCAGTTTTACAGTTTCGAGTCTTAATGTGTTTAAGTCTTTAATCCATTTTGAATTGATCTTTTAATATGGTGTAAGATAAGGATCTACTTCCATTCTTCTGCATAAGGATAGCCAGCATTATTCATTGAAGAGATTGTCCTTTTCCCATCGTGTGTTCTTGGCACCTCTGTCAAACATCAATTGAGCATAAATGCTTGGATTTATTTGGGGTTATTATAATGTGTCTTGGTGAAAGTCTCGTTATGTTTAATCTATTTGAGGTTCTTTGGGATTTATGGATCTGGATGTTCTTTTCCCTCTCCATATTTGGGAAGTTTCCTGTAATTATTCCTTTAAATGAACTTTCTGCCGCTTTCTCTTTTCCACGAGGGCAAGCCTGGAGCCTGAGTTTGTGGGTGCAGGCCTGGATCCTAGGTCTGAAGGGCCAGTCTGGCACAAGGATCCACTGGGGTAGGACTGGTAACTGAGTACAAAGTGGTGAGCCTGGAACCTGGTCCACAGTGGCAGGCCTGCAGCCTGGTCCATGGGCCAGTTTGGAGCCTGGAACTGTGGGAGCCACCCAGGAGCATGGATCCACAGGGCTTACCTGGCACTGGATCAGGCCATGAGCCTGAATCCTATAGACTGGTGCTGGGGCAAGCCGGGCACCTGGGCCATCAAGTATGGTCATGAGGCTGCAGGGGCTAGGCTGGTACCAGGGTCCACTGGGGCAAGCCTGGTCCTGAGTCTTCTGACGCCTAAGTCCATGGGGGTGGGCCTGGTACCTGGGATCATAGGGGAGGGCCTGAAGCCTGAGTCCACTGGGATGAGCCTGACCCTGGGTCTCTACAGGCCAGCCCAGTGCTGGGGTCTAATGGGGAGGGTGTGGATCCTAGGTCTCCTGTTTCCTAGGGATATGGGGGACTAGCCTAGAGGCTGAGTCTGCGGGTGCCAGCCTGCAGCCTGAGGCCACAGGAGCCAGTGTGGCACTGGGATATGCCTGGCGCCTGGGTCCACAGGGATCATCCAGGCACCGGGGTTCACTAGAGCAGGCCTGGAAGTAGGGTCCAAAGCAAAATCGGTGCTCATTTCATTCTCCTTCCCCTTTGCAGAGGGTATTTCTCACCCTTTCTCACCGTGCTTCCTGTACCGTGCAGGCTTAGGGGAAGGATGACGCAGGTAATGTGAAACTGTCCTTTCTACCATCTTCAATGAGTGTTTTCTTATTTCTGTGTTCCCCCCACCGCCCCCAACCCGGTGCTATAATCTCTTACCTGGACTCCTTAGCTTTTGTAAAGGTATTTTGTATATGGATGAGTGTTCAAATCAATGTTTCTGTGAGGGAATGAGTGCTGCAAACTCCCATTCTATCACCTTGCTGACATCATTCCTAAACATTTCTACCTTAAATATACATAATAATAATTTATGTTCTCAGTTACCAAGCTAATAATATTATAATGTGAAGTAGCTTCAAAACTCCACATCATCTTTTTTTTTTTTTTTAACATTACTGTCAGGATAGAGAAAAATATGTCCCTCCACTTGAGTGTTTAACAATATAGAAATAAGATATATAAATCCAGTATTTATTCTAAATATGTTGTACAAATGGTCCTAGAGAGCTTATAAAGAACCCGTAGACCTAGAAATTTATAGTGTATAAATATAACAATTTTCACACAGAAAATACTCAACAAATATATCTTAAATGAAATTAAAATATTATGAATATTCATTATAACAGTAGATCTCATATCACCTAAGTAGAGTACTGTACACATAGTAGGTAGTCAACAAATTTTCCTAAGCAAGGCCATTAGAACAGAGATGCTTATTTTCCAAAATCCAATTCCTGAGACAGAGATAGTGCTTAATAAATAATGTTTCTAATTATAAAAATACACATGCTGCTTTGCCTTGTGATCATCATATATTTCATACTTATTCTCAAAGATATTTTGATAACAAAAAAGCTATAACATTTTTATAGTTCTGGATAATAACAACAGGAATCAATCCAACATAGTTATTTCAGATTAATGACTGTGCTTCACATTACAGCAACTCTGTCTATATTTCCAAACTATCTATAGTAAAAACAAGTCATTTAAAATGAAATATTATTCTCTAAATCATCATGATAAGAATCTGCAAGGAAGAGGAGAGGAACAGAAAAATAAGCAGTTGATAAAACATTTAAAGTAACTATTACGCAGTAAATGAACTGGACAGGCAGTTGAAGAATGAAAGATAAATTACTATATTATGAAAATTTACTGCAGCACACCATAAATCATTGCAACATTTCATTAGCCATTTCTGATAAGTAAATGATCATTTGATCTAGGATACCTGTTTAAAGTGCATGAATTTGTCAATCTTTATTTGCTACAGAAAGGTTACCTTAAGTTTATACAACTGCAATTACTCAGGATATAATTCATTTTATATAAAGATATGCTTAGCGGAATGTCACCTTGCAGAAAATTCCACCTTTGAAATTTTGCTAAAGCTCATATTTCTAATGAAATAAAACATTCTCCATTTACAGGGCAGGCTATGCCACAAACTACTGAATCTAAGTTCATCATACATCCGAAATAATTGTTGGTCTAATCTTTATGACTTATAATCATAAGCATATACACACTACTATATATAAAATAGATAACTAATAAGGACCTACTGTATAATCATAAGAAAAAGTGAGCAACTTATGTAAGAAATCTTGAAATATGAAACTTCTAAAATAGCATATTTCAAGTTTAAAATGTAAAAACTAAAAATAATGTATTTTAAACAAGGAAAATAGCAATAGAGCTCAAATGCCAAACACTAGTACTTTCTAAAACTCAAAGAATGTGGATCTACCAATAAGATACTCTTTATAAGTTATACATATTCAGTAGAACTAATTTCCAAATGTTCATTGATAACTGAATCTCAATTTTGTAATTAAAGAAATGAAGCTCTTGGTAGTACAAGAATATAAATAGATCTTAAATTATGTTGTATGCTCCATATGACTAAAAATAAAACTTTACAAATAACACCCTGTCAATATTTTCTAAAATATTTTTTAAAAATCAACAGATCTCTCCTAGATGACACCACTTGCATCTTATCCTCAACCATAAGGCTGGTAGCTCTCAAACAAGGCAAATTAAGAGAAAAAACAGAGGCACTTCTCTGACCTCCTTACAAATATCTTCATGCGCTGGCCAATTCAAAGTCCTGCAATAATTAACTACAGCATTACTCTAGGAAACTCCTTAAGTCCACGTTACTGGTCAGGTATCCATCCTCTACCTTCATACATCACCCTGCGTGCATCTATCATTGCAATTATCACACTTTGGTATAACTGTGTTTGTATTTCTCCCCCATAAGCTCTTTAACAACAGTGATTGTTTTTGATCTCTGTATTCTCAGCAAGCAGTAGACTGCCAAGTACAATGAAGGTGCTCAATAAATTTGTACTAAATGAATGAAGATTAGCCCATCCTTCCCAGAAATACAGCTTCAGTTCACACAAAAATGATTTTACAGATCAATTTTTCATACAAATTTAATTATTATAGTTTTTCTTTTCCCCATTAATATCAAGCATATAACAAATGTTTGACAGCCAAGTATCACAATGTGATATCCACGTAAAACTTTTGAATATTTATAAAAACTGGAGGTATAATAAATTTATCAATTTTATTAATGGGGGAGGGCTTTGACTCTACAGATATAAAATGGCATTAGAAATTAAATTATCTGTATCAATACTCATGAGAAATACACACACTAATACCACCACAAAAATTATGGCAGGCAATAGTAATGAACTGAATGTTCATACAAACATTTCAAAAGAGTTGTTTAAGTCCCTCTAATTTTTTAACATTTATACAAAACTGTTCTTATATCACTTTTTAAAAATCAGATGCTTGTTCCCCTGTTGTTAGCAAAAGGAAAATCAGTAACATATATTCCTATTCTTTAGCATAAATCAGAAATGATCTTAAGAAGGAAAAGGTCCTAGTATAATTAGTGGGGGTGGGTGGAGGAAGGCTTTGTAAAGTGGAAAAATTAAAACACTATTCTGGGGCAAATATTTTTCTACAGTCAATATCAATATTATTAACTATTCATCAAATAAATTCATTTAGTTACTTAAGAATTCATTATCTAATTAATGATTGTTGGAAATAGTAGTTACAGCAGTAATGGAAACAGACATACAAAAATAATCTTTAAAATGCAAACAATAATAATGGTAACTTTGGTAAACACTAAGAAATAAAATGTATCTATGCTCTTTGCATACAATACCTCATTTATTTTTCACAATAAACATATAAGGTAGCTATGATTACTATATCCCAGTTTACAGATGAGGAACATAAACTGAGGAGGCTAACTTGCTACTAAGCTGTGGAGGTAAGCAGTATGTCCACACTGCATGCTCTCCATCATTTTGATACGCTGTCCTCAATGCTGCTTAAAAATCAGCTATACCAAGGAAGTATTACTTAACTGTTTCAATAGCAAGCAATTGGTAATCTTTGCTCTGAAAAGTTTTCAAGCCAAAACCATATCCACTGCACTGCAGAGTGGAGTTCTGTAGCACCAACAGACCCTTGTCCAATAAAAGCCATAACCTAAGGTCAAAAAAAGTCATTGAGATCTAATATAGTTTTCAAAGAATTGTTGAATTATAGCCGTATCTCCATTATTTGTAGAAATCATGCCACTTTGTGGATTATTTACCACAGGGTGTCTATGTGTGTGTGTGTGTATCTTAAACATTGGCCAAATCTTGTACACACCTCAGATCTGAGGTATTTATTATTGTTTAGCTTTATCACTTACCTGATCTATATTGAGCTCTAATTTTATTTTGACACAAAATACAAAAATCTTCAATGATGCTATGACAGTTTATATTATCTTAGTATATTTCAAGTATGTATATGAACTAAATAAGGTATTTTAAATTAGATTTAGTAAATTATTTCTAAATCTCCTACAACTTAAGAGTTGACTATACTTTTTCTTTTCTTTAATTGACGTATAATTGACATATAACATTATATTATTTTCAGGTATACAAAATAATGATTCAATATTTGTATATATTGTGGAATGATCACCACATAAATCTACTTAACATCTGTCACCATACACAGTTTTCTTGTGATGAGGATTTTTAAGATCCACTCTCCTAGCACGTTTCAAATACATAATACAGTATTATTACCTATAGTCACCATGCCATGAATGGCAGCCCCATGGCTTGTTTATTTTATAACTGTAAGTCTGTACCTTTTGACCCCCTTCACCCATTTTGCCCACCCTCCACCCTTGCCTCTGACAACTACCAATCTGTTCTTTGTATCTTTGAGCTTGGTTTTTTGTTTTTTCATGTGTATTCTTGTTTCTTTGTTTTAAATTCAACACAGAAGTGAGATCACAGGGTACTGAAATCTTGCCATTTGCAACAACACGGATGGCTCTTGAGAGCATTATGCTAAGTGAAATGAGTCAGAGAGAGAAAGAAAATGATCTCACTTACATGTGGAACCTAAAAAAAAAATCCAAAAACAATATATATCACAATATTACAAATATAAAATCATTATGTTGTCTACCTGAAACAACACATCAAATATACCTCAATTTTTAAAAATGTCCTCAAGACATTTCAAGTAAGTATCTAAATAAGATATTTCAAAACAATATTTAGTAAATTATTTCCAAATCTCCAACTTAATATGTTCTTAAGAGTTGACTGTATTTTAACATCCCAAGAACAGAAAATACTGTGAGTTCCTATTAAAAATTTCTTATAAAATGATATTTGACATTATTTCCAAGGAAATATTCCATTTTCTATGGACCAACTCTCTAGGAAATTGAAACTGTTCCCAAATGCTGTATGTTCCAAATCTCCCATGTACTTTAAAAATCAGTTTAAGTCCTGCTAACTATTTGTATATTATTTCAAACAAATCTATACCTAGGAAAATAGTATAATTCAAAAACTTAACCCACAGAACACACACACAAAGATACATATATACAAATATAGCCAATGTGTTGGTCTAGTGTTCTAATTATAAGGGACATCCCAAAATTATTACACTACAAAACAAATTCTTAAATTATATGCACAAGTTTTAAAGTATATTTAAAGTATATTTATTCATATGAGATGTTTTCTTGGTAAGATAATGCAATGGTTTACTGAGCAAAACATGAGATGAGTAATTTAGAAAACTTTATTACCAAAGAAATCAGTTCTACACTTTTACTTCGACGATTTAGTAAAAATAATGTATTAAAAAACAAAAAGAGGCTGAAGGAACCATTGCCAATGGTTACAGGATTATCAGCATATTTCCATAATAAAAACAAGTATAGTTGTTACCTGTTGCGTATACTTCTGTATTTCATCCAGTACAAATTCTACTTCTTTCGAGGTTGTTAATGAAGCAAGATTTCCACTAAGATTATAGCAATAAAGTTTTGCATTGTCATAGTTTTCTCTACTGGAATTAATTCTAAGACAAGCATCCCCGATATGATTCCATCCTTCTCCACAAAGATGAGCTAGTCAAAAAAAAAAATTATATCTTATTTTTAGATTACCAAAAAGCATGTGTATTTTTCAATTATTTTAGAATTCTAAATACAACTTCGGTATTTGTTTAAATAATTTTAACAATAAAAATTTAAATATATCACTATAACATACCAAACTAAATGTGTCTAGTAGTTTGATGAAGAATAAGAAGATCCTAATTTTTTCTTTAATTCTTAAACATAAGAAAAGCTACGGCTCTATAACATCTGTTAAACTGTGTTGACTGTTAGGCTTTCTGTGTAAACCTAGTGTACTGGCATATGGTTTCTCAGCAAGTAAAATCACTACTGCACTTATGTCCCAAAGTGCAATTTATATAATACAAGATCACTTTAATAGAAAAATAACCAGCACATAACAAAAGCAATTTCAAAGTTATCCTACAAGTGTAGCTAATTGTCCTCTAAATCTAATTTCCATAGCCCAGGTGTACGATTTTGATATAAGCTTGGTTCTTTGATTCTTTAATTATAACTGTGGGGCGAGAAGTCTCATTTCATTTACGTATAGTAAAGAAGCTATAAGCTTTGCTTTCTAGTATTTATTTTTACACAGTCATTCAGGTCTTTCGAAAGTTTAAACATACCATTCAGTAACAGTGGTTTATCCTTAGGGTCCAAATTGAACTTAAAACAGTGCCTATTTTCTAAAACATGGATTTATAAATACAATATAAAGTTATGCTCTAGTGTGCATTAATTAACATTGCAGTGTTTTATTAACACACCGATCTATGAAGTTTCACTACATTTTAGTTTCCACATCACTAAATATATCAGTGCCTCTTGCCCTTTCAGCCTTGGACGCATTAATACAATCTTTATGGAATTATTATAAAGCAGCAATTCTCAAATATTCTGGTCTCAAGACCCCTTTAACTCTTAAAAATTGAGAACTCCACATATTTTTTCCCTTATGCATTTTATATCTATTGGGTTTGATCATATTAAAAATAAAAACTGATCTTTTAAAAATATACTTATTCATTTAAAATTTAAATTTTTATTACAAACACATTTCTCCAGTTTCTGGGATGTCTTGTCCCTTTATGCTATTATAGGCTTGAAGAAGATGTACCATCAAATTTTCTCCTTAGGAGCAGTTCAAATCAGGTCCCTGGCATCAAAAAATTGACATGGGTTGATAAATAAATAGGGCATGGATAGGCACAGAGATCAGGAATAAAGCAGAGGAAAATGTGCATCATAGAATCTAGGGTGAGGGTATTGGGTATCCTCTCTACAATTTTTTCAGTTTTTCTATGTTTGAAATTTTTCATAATAAAATGTTGGGGAAAAATATAACAACTTAAAATAAATAGCATATTTAATTTTTTAATTATAGTCTCCAAAAACCAAAATAGTGAAAAGTGTGGCATTGTTTTATAAATATTTTTGCAAATCTCTTTAGTATTGGTTTAATATAACTGTATTCTCGTATCTGCATCTACATTCAATCTATTGGAATCACGTATTATGTAGCCTTTGGAAAACTATTTACATAGCAAACCTATAACAGAATGAGAATCACAAAAGCAAATAATATCTTAGTATTACAAGGTACTCTGGTTCTTTAATAACTGCTGTCCTGTTAAACTAAGTAATGAGAATAACACACGGTGCTTGGAACACAGTAACCCCTCAATAAATTGGAGTCATTTAATAAGACTTTCAAACACGTCTGTTTTCATTTTCGGGCTACACATATAGCAATCTTCCTTGTCTTCTGAAATCTAAAGTACCAAATCACTTTAAGGAAAGAGTGCAAAAGTTTTGGTTAAACTTCGGCTGTTTCTTTCCTTACTAAATCAAGGAAGGATTTACATTAGTTTTGCCTGTCGCTTTTTTTTTTATAAGATCAAAAATACCTGGTTGATAAGTCATACAAATGCAAACAATGCATGGGCCTTTGAGGCTAAACTAAATTATAGCACTGACCCAAATGCTTTGATGTTTTAGGCTTCCATAGTATTGAGCATTAACTCAGCTTTAGAGTTAAAAGGATAGCAGTTAATTTTTTCAATAAGTTTAGTTAGACAAATTCAAATTGCCAATTTTATATGAGATCAATGGGAAAAATGCAATTCACAAATTTTCATGGAAAAGTGCAACTACTATACAGACTGGGCCCTCCATTTAGAGCATTTACTTCCTTGAGACAAGCTGAATGGAAACCAAACTATATATATACCAAGCTGGTTCTTAGTAAATATGAACACAGGACAAGGTAAGTTAGTACATAATAAAATATTTTATTCTATTTATTATTCTCCAAAATAATAGCCTGGTCAAGTAGAACCCTTATACCAAACCAAAATATTTTCCCAAGCAATGAATAGATGGGTACTACCAAATAAAACTTCACTATTATTTTTCCAAATTTCCACTGGTAATCTAATTCCCTTCTTATTGAGTAATATTCCTTTAAACATATATATATTCCTTCAGTCAAATCTTATTTTAGTCTAGCATTTTCTTTGTCTTTTTAAAGAGACTTTATAAGTATTTTTTCTGATCTACATGTTATTTTTAGATTTTAACACTTAGAAATCATTACTTTCAAGTTTAGTGTCATATCACTAATGCTTCTCAAATCCTGCCTACTGCATTAATATTCTCTAATTTACTCAAAGTGAATACACATGCATATATCACTATTTAAAAGCTTCAAAAGTCAGCACATAGAGAAAATTCCAAAACCTCAATCGTACTTTTAAAGGCAATCTAATTTTTATTTTCTTACATGAACTTATATAAGAAAGACTTAAGTCCTGTGATGGAATTTTCCAACACTTTCTAGAACTACATAGGTTCAGAAAATTTTTCTATGAAAGAATTTTAAAAAAAAAATCATGATATAGAAACAGGCAAAAAACTGAACAGAAATAGAACTCCCAGTTATTAGTCCCCTCTGCCATTTACAAGTCAGGCACTTTGAAGCAAGTCACATAACCAGTGTGTCTCAGTTTATCTGTATAATAAGAAAATGGAACTGGTTAAATATCTATACAAGTTTTCAATTTTCTACTTTTTTCTTTCATATTTGAAGAAAGAGTACTTAGGGTCCACTAAGAAGAGTGTCAGCTATAAAAATTAAATTGAAATTTCTTTTTAATGAGTTTTGGGACTTCCCTGGTGGCACAGTTGTTAAGACCCCACACTTCCAATGCAGGCGGCCTGGAAACTAGATCCCATATGCATGCCACAACTAAGAGTTCACATGCCACAACTAAGGAGCTGGCAAGCCGCAACTAAGGAGTACACATGCTGCAACTAAGGAGCTGGCAAGACACAATTAAGGAGCCTGCCTGCCACAACTAAGACCTGGTACAACCTAATTAATTAATTAATTATTTTTTAAAAAATAAATAAAATGAGTTTTGCTCTGGTTTGCAGAACTTAGATTCTCATTAAATCATATAACAATTACTATAAATGTTTCAATTTGTAACAAAAAAGCAGTCAGTAAAAAACAGTTCCTGAAATTTAAAAAATAAAGGGCACTTAAAAAATAAATCCAATATGCTAAAATGTTAACATTGCTAGATCTGGATACTAGTCTGAATACTTTTTATTTTCTATGTTTTTAAGACATAATTTTTTAATTGAACAGTATTCTGATCAAGTCAATAGCATAATAAATACAAGAAACCTTGAACATCTGAAAAGAATTAGAAATGAACATACAAACTTTTCTTGTAGAAACACTGCTATCATTACTCCAATAGTATTGTTTATTTGCTACTGATTTAATTTTAGAAAATGGAATATTCTTACTAAACGTTCTTTACTATAATGGCATTCATCTGTGGACTATAAAACTCATTTACCCAATTGAAATCTTTACCTGGTAAAGCCTGGCACTCCTGTTGTCTCTGATCCCACTGGCAATTCAAGTTTAGTGAACAGCTTTTACAGCTGGTAAGTTTGTTACAAATCTGCTCATTTCTCACATGACATTTGGTATAGTTTTTCACAGACTAGAAAATTAAAAGATAAAGCATGTTATTTTTCACCTTTGTACAGCAATGACTCTTAAACTTCAGTGTACATATAAGTCACCTGGTGAGCTTTACAATACAGATTTCTAACACCAAATCCAATTGTACTGAATCAGAATTTCTCTTACTCATTTCTTTATTTAAACAAAGTTCTTCGAATTAGAATGTGTGCTTACTGGAAAAATGTGCAAATTACACAATTTGAAACAGAAACCATGTAATGAAAACCTATTCTATTGAATCTGATAACAGGTTTCCAATTCAATAAATAAAGCCAATGCACAAAGTCATTTCTCTCTGATCACATGAAAGAATTCTAGTCATAATAAAACTATCATACAGATCCTTGGGAATGAAGTAGAAATGATGAGTAGAAAAACTTAAAGAGATGTTTTATCAAAATCCAATAAAATCTAAAAAGATAAATTATTTTCTCAATAACTCAAACTAATTTTACTTCCACAGACATTAAATAATGGTTTTGGTTAATTGATGTTTCTCCTGTATGTATCTGTCACATTTCCATAATGTAGGTTGAAAAGAACCTGCAAAAGTTACATTTTGATCAGTCCTATTATACAACTATCATATTTCAACTAATTCCAGCTCTAAGAGGTTAAAGGTTAAAAAAGAAAAAAAAGGCAACATAGAAACTTTGGTGTGAGTTCCCTGCACATACCAAGTTTCAATATTTCACATAATATTTTTAGCATCTATGATAATGAAAATCAAATTCTAAAATTTTGGGCTCAACTCTTCCTGTTACTCTTTTTTGAGAAAAAAACAAAAAGGAAAAAACACATGCTGCACCCTGAGGCCCCTTTTATTTCAGTAGGCAGACATACTTACCTCAGGCTTTCTCATGTAAGGGTGTTAAATAGTTCTCTTCAACCAAAAAACTTAACAGTTAAAATTTGCTTATAACTCGCCCATATATAAAAATGGTTGAAGCAATTTTTATCCTCTTAGATATATACTTTAAAATGTCACCCATCAAATATTTATTTATAAACTACTATACTTTCCAACATAAAATACATTGCGGTCACCTCCATTTCAAAGATGTTAATTTCTTTAGAGCAAATTGCATATACTATAAGGGCACAGATTAAAAGTACATAGATAGGGGCTTCCCTGGTGGCGCAGTGGTTGAGAGTCCGCCTGCCAATGCAGGGGACACAGGTTCGTGCCCCGGTCCGGGAAGATCCCACATGCCGCGGAGCGGCTGGGCCCGTGAGCCATGGCCGCTGAGCCTGTGCGTCCGGAGCCTGTGCTCCACAACCGGAGAGGCCACAACAGTGAGAGGCCCACGTACCACAAAAAAAAAAAAAGAAAAGAAAAAAAGTACATAGATACTAATGTTTATCTTACTCATCCTAAAATAATCGCAGAAGAAATATTTTTTTAAAACCCAAATTACATTGCAACTCTTATTCAACCATCATGTTTTCATTAAGAACATATAAATTTTCTTAATGTTGTTTTTCTGATTCATAGCTTTTTGTTCTCATATAGTATATAAATCTTAGTATTATTCTATACAATTATTATAGTTCCAAACATCTGTTAACTAAAAATAAATTTACTTGAATCATCTGATAAATAAAATAACCTATAAAAAAGACAAGAGAATGGCTAAACAACATGTTAGAATAAGAGAAAGAGTAACAGCTTAATGCCAATCTTTAGAATAACAATGGTAACATCAGAGTCACCATCCAAATAACTCAACTGCTCTTCATTAAGAACGGTGTAATTGGGACTTCCCTGGTGGCGTAGTGGTTAAGAATCCGCCTGCCAATGCAGGGGACACAGGTTCAAGCCCTGGTCCAGAAGATCCCACATGCCACGGAGCAACTAAGCCCGTGCACCACAACTACCGAGCCTGCGCTCTTAGCCCATGAGCCACAACTAATAAGCCTGCATGCCACAACTACTGAAGCCCGTGCACCCAGAGCCCGTGCTCTGCAACAAGAGAAGCCACTGCAATGAGAAGCACACACAGCACAACAAAGAGTAGCCACTGCTCGCCGCAACTAGAGAAAGCCTGCGCACAGCAACGAAGACCCACTGCAGCCAAAAATAAATTTATTTAAAAAAAAAAGAACAGTATAATCATTTATTGATACTGAAACAGTACAAAAGATGAAATTATATTTCAGTCACACACAGGGCCAATTTATTCAATGATGGAAGAAAGCTGACTCTTACTTTGAAACATGGCTGGCATTTTTTGGCCTAATGAACCAGATGTACATTAATAAACAGACTGTGAAGCATAACCATTACTCTATTCATCTTCATCTTACTATATTTAGATGTAAATTTAAAATGAAAATCTGTAAGAAGTAAGGTTATTGGAGCTATTAGAGCACAAAATATGCAACTTGCAGTAACTATGACTAAATAATGAAATAGAATCTCAGTGGACATCATTTACACTAAAATCTCATAGACCTTTCTGTATCCATTAGCATTTGGTTTCTTAATCATCAGACATTCTGATAAAACCATCCAAAAGACATATTACATCAAAGTCTAAATTACAAGTGAGTACCATCTGCTCACTTATACTATCTCACCCAGTACTTTCCTTGTTAACACATCATTATCAAAAATAACTCTAAAGCAAAAGGCCACTTTTAAAAATGAACACTTGATAACAATTTGCATAATACAATTTTTGAGATATGTGTATTTTCATATAGTGTAAATGTCTAAACACAAATTAACTCAGTTACCGAACAAATTTTTAAGTAAAATCTGCTTGCAATTTTTATCTAATAACGTTCTCCATTTTAGTCCCTTATTCCTATATTTTATTTTACTTACCTCCTACTTCCACATTATTCACTAATGTAACTCCCATTAGATGAATATTATGCAAGTATAAAAAATAATTCAAATTTTCAAAGTGAGTCATGTCATATTAACATTAAAACTCAAATAAAATTGAGGTATCTATTATCATTACAGCAATTCATATCACTGAAAAGTATACACCAACACAGTATGTATGAAAACAAAAGGGTTCAATCTGATTAGTCAATAATTCAATATTTTCCTTCATTTTAAGTTTTAAATATTATTTTAGAATAGAATCATACAACTAAGTATTTTGAAATATGACTGGTTACTAAAGAAAAATTTTAGATGATAAAATAAAAACTTATTACTTAGTTTTCAAATTCCCTTTTCTTTACCTTTTACTTCTGCCTGGTATCTTGAAAAACAAGTGGATAGATTCTTGATTAATAAAAATTCAGAAAAATAAAAAATAATATGTATTTAGTTGAAAATCTGTATACTATTTAGTTATTTAAGCTATACTCCAATAAGAGAATCTTTAACCCTACTAAACATAATTGTTAATACTTTAAAAATTTTTTTCCTTCAACTTGTTGACATCCTCTAAAAAATATGGGACATTTTGATGCTACCCACTTAAAAGGTTAATTTTTGCTGCTCTTAATCCATTTTAATCTATCATCAATACTAATTTTATTATTTTTTCAATACTCTTATCTATAATAGGGTTCTCAACCTCATCACTAGTGAAATTTTGAGCCAGACAATTATTTTTTGTGGGAGGGCTGTTCATTCATTGTAGGATGTTTAGCAGCATCCCTGGCTTTCTCCACAGTAGATGCCAGTAGCAGCCCCATAGTTGTGACAACCCAAAAAATACGCATTGCCAAACGTCCCTCCGGGGGACAATATTGCCTCAGAGAACCAGAGATCTAAAGACAGATAAAAGGAAAACTACCACTGTCAATACTTCAGATTAAACTCGCACACAAAGTGTATAAACAAAACCTAAACCACACCACTGTTAATGCATGTCTGAAAAGAATCTCACGGAAATGACTTATATAATATAATCCTTATATAATCCTATTTTCATCAGCACAGAAGACAATGTTTATAGCTACAGTCTTTTCTTAAAAACAATTTTTGAAAGGATTTTCCCAACCTTATTTATGAAAAGAAGTAAAAGTTTCCAGATTCAAAATGGAATCTAGACTGACAAATATGAGCAAGGAGCTACAGGCTGAATTTACAACATACCAGGAAGTAGGTGATTTCCTACATACTTTCTAAATCTCTTTTTTTTTTTGAAGTATAGTTGGTTTACCATATTGAATTAGCTTCAGGTGTGCAACATAGTGATTCAACATTTTTAAAGATTATATACTCCATTTAACATTCTTACAAAACAATGGCTATAACTCCCTGCGCTGGACAATATATCCTTGTTGCTTATCAATTTTATACATAGTAGTTTGTATCTCTTAATCTCATACCCCTATTTCACCCTTCCCCCTTCTAAATATCTTGATAAGGAAAGTGCTATTTTGTACAGTGGTACTAAATGGTAAGCTAACGATTATGAAGTAGCATGTTAGCTACAACATCATTTACCCATAAATACTAACCATACTGCAGTTACTGTTTGATGAAATGCATTTCTTGTCATCGCACCACTGGCACCCATTTGTATTGGCAGTACAGCTGGCACAATCTGCATATCTGTAACATCTGTCATCAGAAGCAGCTGTGATACAAATGAGAGAACATATCAGGATGAAAAAGAAAATGTCACACGTCTTAATTCACATATTTTTAACATCTGTTAAGAATCACTAAGACATTTTTAAACCATAAATATAACCATCAATATCAAAATAAATTCTTCAATATGAACTCAATTTTGTAATTTAATTATATTTAAAGGGATTTAGATACCTCCTAGACTCATCTTTATTCAGTCTACCAGGATCCTACAGCCATTTAAAATTTACACATTAAAATAAGTAATTAATTAATTAATTAAAATTTACACATTATGGAGGGAGAAAAAGATTTAGAGGTATTTTACTAAACAAAATGTATTACTATATATCTAAAAGAAAACATTATAACAAATACTCATTGCTTATTATTCTTCATAAAGATATTTAGAGACATGACTCATTATAGATTAGCAAAACTTGATTTGTTAATTGTAGCACCAAAATGTATAAGAGCCCCACTCATTTAAAGAAAATTGAACAATTTTTATCCAAATCATTCCTTATAAATAAATATTTATTAGTAATTATTCATAAGTTTGATTTATTTATTCAATATTTTATAAGAAATATTAAATTATAACAAAACTCATCAAAATTCTAGAAAATTTTTAACTTTATGGTCTGCCTTGGCAATAATTCAGAGAGAAAAAAATTACCAAATGCAGAATAAATTACTTCATTTTTTTTCTTTGAAGCATACAGTATATCTTAGGGTGTATTTGAAAGCATTTTTTACTTACATATGAAAATAATTCATATATATGGCCATGTTACATATACAAATTGATATATAAATATTACATACAGAATTCAAAAAAGAAAACTAAAAATAGCTAATAAAGATATTAAATTACTAATCACTGCTAAATTCAAACATTAGAATTCCTAATTAGAGAATCTGAGTTTTTAATTTCTGAAAGCTACTAAGGTAATTCTTACAAGCAGAATGCATTTCCATTTCTAGCCAAATAAAGAAGCTTTGTTCCAAATATAAGAAAGAAAAAAAATGTTTACCTGTTTTCAGAGGGCACTTTGCTCTAAGAATATTATTAGTATTCCCAGACTCCCAAGATTCACAGTGATTTTTATTCCAAATACATTTTATCCCTGGACCAGCATTTTTACAAAGTTCTTCATCTCTGAAAGCCTTGCAATTTGGAGGCTTGTATACAAGTATATCATTAAGGAGTACACTAGAAAATCCTCCAAATATATACATGGACCTATTAGAGACAAAATAAGAATCTTAAAGGAACAATATTAAGAAAAGTCTCTCTCTAATGTGTTAGTTTTAAAAATAAATTTAAATACACATTTTACATTATCTTATCTAGTTAGGAAACAATTTTTTAGAAATATATAGTAGCTGTATATACTATAATAAGATACACTTTAGACAATAAGATATACTTTAGAATTACTATATAGAATTATAATTTTTGAATACAAAGAATTTAGAAATTAGATATAGAGTTCTTCATATAGTGTTTTACTATCCTCTTGTAAAATAAAAAGACCAAGAGTAAAATTATCAAAAAGATTTTCAAAGTTTCAATTTGAAAAGCCCAGATGATTACTGAATTAATTAATACTACCAATGCCAAAAAATTTGACATGCCCTCAAAACAGCCTAATTTTTGTTTCTAAAAATATTATTAACACAATAAATGGAAAAGATCAGAAAATGCTTCAAGAATATCTTTTATTATTTAAAAAAAGTAAAATAAAAATCAATCAAATGCAGTTTTCAACAGAGAAGCCTAGAGGTTTTATGTTTACACTCTGAATTTCTTTTATTTCAGTTTCAAAAGCTAACTGATATCAGTTACACAGCTTCATTACGATTAAGTTCTGACTACTTTTAGTATTATATTGGAGAATTTTTACATAATTAGAATAAGGTAGTAATAAAATGAACTTATGAAAAATGTCATGAATTACAAATTTTAAGCTAATGAATGATCTAGCATATTGTTTACTGTCACAAGCCCACATTAACGAACTTTTGCTATAGAAATAGCAAAATCATAATAACTTAAAGGATGAAGGGAACTTAATGATCATCCAGTCCAAATTCCCAGTGGATAGAACAGTCTTAAAGGCCAGAGAGGTTAAGAGATTTGTCAAAAGTCACACATTCAGTTATGACAGAACCAAAATGAGAATCTAATTCTTCTCACTTCCCTTGCTCTCCTCAGAAGAAATATGTGGCTAGCCTTTCTATCACTTCAGACTGATCTTTTTTAAGGAAGTCATTCATGATCTGATCTCTGGAAAAAGGAAAGAAGGCAGGATGACTTTTTAAAAGAGTATCTGAAGTTCTATCTCAGCACCTTTCCTTTGATACTCCCCTGCCCCTTAAATAAATTTAAACAAAAAAGAAATGAAGGATATGGTTAATGAAGCAAAATTCATTCCACGGTATTACAGGGATATAGAAAATCCAATCCATTAAGTACAAACAATAATTTTTTTAAAGAATAACAAAATATGTGGGTAGTATAACTGATAAATGTGCTTCTTTTACCCATTAATGACAACTGCAGAGTGTCCAAATCTGTTGACATCTCTATGAAGGTTTGGTTTTGGTAATATTTTCCATTCATCACAAGCTAGGAAAATGAAAACAGCAAAACAAAAAGTGAAAAAAAAGAACTATTTAGGACAAATATAAAATAATCATTGGCCAAATAAAGATACAATACTTAAAATTAGGAAGCCTTTCATTAATTTTCCATGCCTACAATTTAGTATCATTACTCAACTAGCATTATTCCTTAGATAAAAATAACTTCTGGCTAAAATTATCACAAATAATTTTACATGTATGAGAATAAAGGAAATCAAAGGAAAAAAATTAGATGAACTTTACATTGGAGGATAATTTCAATGACATATTTTATTAAATAAACCAAGAATCATATAGTAAAATTCATTAATGTCAATACTGGGCAAACCCATCAGAAAGTTAAATCACGAAATCAAATTTTACATGCATGCATGCAAAATTAAATGGAATATATAATACTCAATGAAAGAATGCCTAAAAATGGAATCATCAAAATAAAATATTTAAATCAGTTTAATGATTCGATATTTCAAAGGAATAGTTTTCATTTTATGTAAAGGAGAAGAGCTTTAGTTGCAAAAAATAGAAAAAAATGAAAAAAAGAAACCTAAATAATTCATGAGCTACATAAAGACTATGGAAAGAAAAATGATTAAAGAAAACTGTTCATCATTTAAATATAGCCTCAGAATTGACACATGTATTAATAGAGATTTTGAGATGTCAAATAATTCAGTATTCAGTGACTAGAAACGTTCTCAGGACAGTGTTTTAGATTTTATCCTCTTAGACATGGCATATCTAAAAGCAGGCCTTGGTATTTAATACAAGCACATAGATGGAACAAGGTTTAAAACAAATTTATTTCATTTTTTGGTAACTTAGAAGCCCTTTTGAAACAAGAAAATAATCTCAAATACAATTAGTTGTAATGAATTACTTGTTTTCTTATATAAGCAATCATGCCTATTACACTAGAAATGAAATAATAAATTTGGCTTTAATTCAATATTATTACTAGTAAAGATCAAAGGAATCACAAAAACGAAAACCACAGTTTAGAACATTAAACTGGAAGACTGAGAGCAATAAAATATATCTTGAATTATATCTCCCACTCTCTCAGTGTATTCTGAGGTTCACAAATCTGCCCCAAAAGGGGTATTCCTTAGTTGATATAATCTCTCTCTACAGTTCACAAAGTACATGAACCTATTAACTACTCTCAAAAGAGAGAGTACAAAAGCACAGAAGCCTAACTTTACTAAACCCCGTGTTTTCCCAATGTTTTATCCATAGAAGCACTTTTCACATAACACCTATTAACATTCCAGGAGCCAAGGCTCTGAAGATCACATTTTGAGAACTACTATTAGAAAGGCTTACACATAATATTCATAGTCTACCAATTTTATGCGTTGGAGTTCACTTAAGAAATGTACATTTCTTAAGTGTACATTTATATGCATGCAGTAATATAAAACTTCCAAAGTGCTTTCATCTATATAACTTAAAATAGTCTGTATAAGAATCCAGTGAGATTGATTGAGCCGGTATCACCATATGCCAGAAATGAAAAAGGAGACCTAGGAGAAGTTAAGCAATGTCCTTAAGGCCCATTAGATTACCTTTGTTTTTCTATAAATTATGTTTATGAACGTCTGATGTTATAAAAGTATATTGAATGGATTCTGAAAGATAATTCCCATTTGGAGAGAAGGGGTGACCTGTAAAAGGTACAGACTTTGACAAAGAAAGAGATGAAAATGTTAGAGATAGATAATGAGTTAGGGCAGACAGATTTTAATCATTCCACCAAAACCCAACACACACACACACACACACACACACACACACACCCCACATGGCCACTGATTCATAAATTGTGTGTTAAATACAGTATTCCAGCAACAGAATTAGAAACCTGAATGTGCATCAAAGAAATGAAACAGAAAAGAGTCTGATCAAAGAGTAGGACTTCCAGAAATTAGGAATTCCAGAAACCAGTTTATTATAAAAATCTCCAAAGAAGAATCATCTTCAAGGTCATCTTTAGGACATCTGGAATCCAGAAAAGAAAGTGACCCAATAATCTGAGCCTATCTAGGACAAAAGAATAAGTAATTCGGCCCAGCGTCCAAAACAAATCAGCAGAAGGAGGGAAGAAAAGCAGATTTCCAAAATGAGAACCAGGGAAAATGCTCAGAAAACCCATCTAAGAAGTGAGTCAGGAAAAAGAGCTGAGAGAATAAAGGCCAGCATTTACTAAAAATTAGGCCTTTTGAAGATTTCTTGTAACTCTATACTCTCTTTAGGGAAAAAGAAAAATTTTTCAGCACACAGAATAGTCTAAAGAATGGTATTATAAACACCTATATACCACTACCCAGATCTGTCAAACCCAATATTTTACCATGTTTACTGTAGATTTTCTAAAGAAAGAAAATATTACAGATATGATTGAGGCTCCCTCTCAAATTCAACTGCTTTATGTCTTCTGTCTTTGGACACAACCTATATTGGTTTATCAATGTTCCCATATCTATGATCTAGATCTAGATCTAGTATGTTCCCATATCTATGATCTAGATCGAGATCTAGTATATCTAGTATTTTCGTAGGTTATAAAACAATATAAATGGTATCAAACTATGGATTCTTCTCCACCTTGCTTATTCTGTTCAACCTATTGAGTTTTTTTTTTTTTTTGGTTTTTTAACCATTTTTAAGTGAACAGTTCAGTGACATTAAGTACATTTGCATTGTTGTGCACCATCATCACCACCCATCTCCAGGATTTTCTTCATCTTGCAAAACTAAAATTCTGTACCCATTAAATAATAACCACCCATTCCCTTCTCTCCCCAGCCCATGGTAACCACTGCTCTACTTTGTTGTCTATAAATTTGACTATTCTAAGCACCTCAAATGAATGAATTCATACAGTTTTGTCCTTTTGTGACTGGCTTATTTCCCTAAGCATGTATTCAAAGTTCATCTGTGCTGTAGCATGTGTCAGAATTTCCTTCCTTTTTAAACCCTGAATAATTTCCATTGTATGTATGTACGACATTTTCTTTATCCATTCATCCATATATGGATATGTAGGTTGTTTCCAGATTTTGGCTACTGTGAATAATGCTGCTAGGAACATGCGTGTACAGATATCTGTTCCTGCCCCGATTTCAATTCTCTTGTGTGTATACCCAGAAGTAGAATTGCTGGATCATATGGTAATTATGTTTAACTTTTCGAGGAACCTCTATACTCTGTCCTATAGTGGCCACACCATTTTACATTCCCCCTAGCAGTGCACAAGGGTTCCAATTTCTCTACATCCTGGTCAACATTCGTTGTTTTCTATTTCTTGATAACAGCCATCCTAACGGGTGTGAGTGGTATCTCACTGTGGTTTTGATTTGCAATTCCCTAATGATTAGTGATGTTGGGCGTCTTTTTATGTCCTTACTGGGATATTTGTATATCTTCTTTGGAGAACTATATCTTCATTAAAAAGCCTGTACATTAACTTGGTCAAATTTATTGTTTTCCACCATAATTCAAAAAGAGACATGTATCACAATGTTCATTGCAGCAGTATTTACAATAGCCTGGACGTGGAACCAACCTAAATGCCTGACAGATGAATGGATAAAGAAGATGTGGCACATATATAAAATGGAATATTACTCAGCCATAAAAAGAAACGAAATTGAGTTATTTGTAGTGAGGTGGATGGACCTAGAGTCTGTCACACAGAGTGAAGTAAGTCAGAAAGAGAAAAGCAAATACCATATGCTAACGCATATATACAGAATCTAAAAAAAAAAAAAAAATGGTACTGATGAACCTCGTTGCAGGGCAGCAATAAAGAGGCAGACATAGAAAATGGACTTGAGGACATGGGGTGGAAGGGAAAAGTTGGGACAAAGTGAGAGCAGCATCTACATACACACACTACCGAATGTAAAATAGTTGGCTGCTGGGAAGAAGCAGCATAGCACAGGGAGAACGGCTCGGTGCTTTGCGATGACCTAGAGGGGTGGGATAGGGAGGGTGGGAGGGAAGCTCAAGAGGGACAGGATATGGGGACGTGTGTATGCACATGGCTGATTCGCTGTGCTGTGCAACAGAAACTAACATAGTATTGTGAAGCAATTATACTCCAATAAAGATCTATTAAAAAAATGTATTGTTTTCCTTGTGATTTGTGCTTTTTATTCTTAACTCAAGATTGTAAAGATAATCTCTAACTTTCTTCAAAGGATGTACAGTTTGGCTCTTACTATTCTGATCTTCAATCAAGTCGGAAGTTATTTTTGTATTTATTGCATGGATCTAACTTAATTTTCCCCATATACAATATTTCCCAGATATTTCTCAGTACATTTCCATATACCAATTGCCCAGAACCATTTTTTGAGCATTTATCCCTGATCCACTAATTTGTGTCTCATTTGACTTCTGTACTGACTTCTGTACTGCTGTGGTTTGTTTTTATTCCACTTGTTTTTAACTAAAGATATATATGTGCAAAGTTTAAAAGCAAATAATCCCACAAGGTTCATCACAGAAAAGCCTCCTCCTCCCCATCTATGGGCTATGGAAGCCCGAAATTGAAAAGCACATAGTTGCTTCTAATAGTTAAAAAACATTTTTAATTACTATTATAATATTATATAAAATTAACTGAAGAATTCATTAAACCTTTTATAGTCTTTTTAAATGGGTAAAGATTCCTAAAGTGGCGGCCATGACCTTTACCTAATAAAAATAACATGCTGGGCTTCCCTGGTGGCGCAGTGGTTGAGATGCAGGGGACGCGGGTTCGTGCCCCGGTCCGGGAAGATCCCACATGCCGCGGAGCGGCTGGGCCCGTAAGCCATGGCCGCTGAGCCTGCGCATCCGGAGCCTGTGCTCCGCAACGGGAGAGGCCACAACGGTGAGAGGCCCGCGTGCCACAAAAAAAAAAAAAAAAAACATGCTAATTGCTTATCAGTGCTATACAATATTTAACTCTCAAAACAACTCTGAGGAATAAAT